GCTGATCTTTCTGCAACTGAAAAACATTCTGATATTGTTGTTTCACTGGTCAAAGAAATCAGAAGCCAGGTTATCTGCTGTTTTGCTGATCTTTTCTTAAGTCTTGGAAGATGGGACTGTCACTTCTACTTTTTCTTGGCAACTCCACTCCCCGCCTGCCTCCACTACTAGGCAGGATTGAGTCACCTCGGCCCCTTTTTATTTTTTATTTTGACACAAGGTCTTGCTAAGTTGCCCGGTCTGGGGTTGAACTTGTGATCCTCCTGCCTCAGTGTGGCTGAAATTATAGGCATGCACCACCATATCTGGCTCAGCTCTACTTTCATATCTGATTTTCAGGCAGCAAGAAGGAAAAAGCTATAGAATACTATTAGTGTGTGTACTCCAAAGCAGTATCCCCCTGCTAGACACACACACACACACACACACACACACAGCTTTTCCAGCAACCCACGCAAGTCCTCCTTAAAGCTATTGTCAGAACTGTGTTGAGTCACTGTATAGATGAAGAGGCCAGGCTTCTCTGTTCCATAACAAAACCAAAGATCTCTGATAATGAGGAAAACAGGAGAATGGATGTTGGTTGGGTGAATATCAGCCTGCCTTTGCAATGTATCAATATTACTTTTTTTTTTAAAGTTAACTTTCTTGAGGATATGCACAGTGCAGGTAATCTCCTAATTCCTTCCTTTTCAGTTTTTCTGGGTGCATTGTCTTTCTGTCCACATAAAACGACCCTTTTTAAAGTCCCCCATTGCTGTAGGTTGGAACATTCAGTTAATCACTCGGATGCCATATCCCAGCTATGAAAAATTACAGAACTCACTCAATTCTCTGGCCTAGATCAACAGTTTGTGATCACAACACAAATCTTTAGGAATGGCTCAAATAATCATGTAGGTTTACTTCTGACTTCCAGACTTAATGTTACGGGCTTCAATAATGTTGAAACAGCATGATCGTTCCAAACTGTGTTTTCAGTCAGTTTTATTTTGATATTAATTGATCCCACTTATAGACAAGTAGCATTTTATGTTCCTACTTAGGCTTTTAATTGTGTGCAGTACAATACTCAGGCATAATGCACACAAGGAATGGCTGCAGATGAGCTCTAACCTATGGTCTCTCTCTGATGCTGAGCGACTCATAGGCTTGTAAATCTGCAGCTAAACTGAGTACAGGGTCAGCATGTTCCAGTTTCATAATCATGACTAATGATAATCTTCAACCTGTAGCTTTCTGTCTGTAACCAATAAGCTTTGGAAACTGTATCTCATTAA